TGTGGGGCTCGATCCCAGGACCCTGAGGTCATGACCTGAGCTGAAGGCAGATGCTTAACTGACTGAGCCACCCAGGTGCCCCTATTTAGATGTTTTTAAGGTGTTGTGCATAGAGGTAAAGGCAAAGTCATGTTTTTTGTAAATCCAGGAATAAGCTTAAAAAAAAGGCCAGTTTTTACGTCCTGTAGGAACGTGGAAGTTGATATGTTGTTTTGAAACCTCCAGGTCCTTTCTGGACATTTTGAGTCATTCCTTTCTGACCAACGTGTGTCGTACACAGCAGGTGGGTGCAGCTCATGGGGGCTAGACTTGGACACGGGATGTCTTGCAGTGTCTGACCTGTCTCCTTGAAAGCCTTGGGCATTAAGCACCTACTAAACCAACGCCAGTGAGCAATGCTGTCTTGAGGGGCTGCTGCTAAGGCTGGGTTCCGTCCTGCTGGCTGGGCTGGAGGTGTCCTCGCGGTGTCTGTCCAGCACGCCAGGCTGCAGACCGCAGTGTTGGGTAGAGGAGTTTGCCTTCTTCCCTCGCAGTCGTTCCTCAGTCTGCTGTGCTGAGCAAGAAGTCAGAAAACTAACGTGAGACAGTGTGAGTCCCCTTCCTGATTAGGGGAGATGATTTGCTGGTTTTCAGTTTTTAAATACACTAATTTTTAAAAAACTGACAGTTTTGGGGGTGTCTGGGTGGCTCAGTCGGTTGGATGTCTGCCTTCAGCTCGGGTTGTGATCCCAGGGGTCCTGGGATTGAGCCCTGCATCGGGCTCCCCGCTCAGTGGGGAATCTGCCTCTCCCTCTCCCTCTGCCCCTCCCTCAGCTTATACCCTCTCTTGCTCGCTCGCTCTCTCTCAAATAAAATCTTGGGGAAAAAAAATGCTCTTTTAAAAAAAAAACCTGATAGTTTTGGACACCAGTTTAGAACATGGTGAGACTATTTTGGAACATTAATATAAAAATTTGGATCCCTCTTAGGGGTATATTTTTTTCCCCTCTTTTTCATGGTTGTCACAGGGTAAGGAAGCCTGATGTGTGTTACTTCGGGCTCGGGGGGGGCCGTGAGCGCCGAGGCATGTTTGAGTTTGGTGGGTTTGTGCAGGATCCCTCCCGGGCCACACGTGGGAGTGATGACGAAGGCCTCTGCCCACCTCCCGCTCCTCTGCCCCTGAGTTAGGATTCTTTCTTGGAATTTGATATGTGTGAGGATATGTTACCAAACCGTACGGTGAAGTGCCTGCCGCGTGTCTGGCCCTGCCACCCCGAGTGCGCCCGATCTCGTCTGAGATACCCGCCGGCTGCTCAGCGTTCGGTCACTTCGATTTCCCCTGGGTGACCTTGGGGATTTTGAGCAATGGCCTGCCTTAGAGATCTCCACATTAGCGTTTGCAGGACCCACCAGACGTGTTTCTGATGTCTTACTAAATGTTTGTTCTTCCTGCATGTTTGTCTTTCCAGGAAAACCCTTTCTGTGTCCTTGGCGGACGCCGGCCCAGTCCAGGAGCCCCAGGCCAAGCCTGGCGTCGAGCTTCCACGCTGGACGGCTCTTCAGCTCGCAGGCTGCGGAGGACCGGACGGAGGAGCCCCTGCACTCCATCATCAGCAGCACTGAGACCGTGCAGGGTACTGTGCGCAGCCCGCCTGCGAGGGGAAGTTCTTGAGGCAGAAGCAGTGATTGATAGAAGCCGCCCACTTGCTTCAGTCGGAGGGAGGGTTCCCCCAAACAAAGCATCCTCCGTTTCCTGCTTTGCCAGGAGCTGCTGACTGCCGGCCTGGTGTGTCTTGCCCCCTCTGGTGGTCACCCGTGAGCTTGCGGCCGGCCACTCGGAGTGGTGATTCATGGCCCATCTGCTAATAATCATGGAAGCAGGATGTAAACCCAGCATTGGCCGTGCCGACACAGGCCTGCACGTTCAAGCTGTACTGTCACCTCAGAAGTCTAGAAAAGCAGTCTCTGCAGCCAGTCCTCACCTGGGTCCATTTCTGGCTTTCACATGAGATGACAACACAGTCTCTGATGTTTGGGTTAAGAAGTGAGATTTTCTTGTTCATTTGTTTTCTAAATAATTAATTTGGAAACCATGGTTTTGAAGAGTAGAATCTAGGGTCTGGTTGTTAGAGCCAGTCTGATTCTCACGTCCTTGGGAAGTGCCGGCACCGACTGGCCCTCGAGGTAGTGGCCTCGAGGTGACGGGTCTCAGTGGTGGGAAGCAGGGGAGGCTCCTTTTGCCCCTTCCTGTGGAGAGAGGGGGCCCCGGCTTGTCCTCTCTGACACCTCCTCCCTGAGAGCCCCAGTGACGTAGTTTCTTTTTCACTCCTTTTTTTTTTTTTAAGATTTTATTT